AGTTTTTAGAAGGTGTTTTCGTAAAGAAAAAGGCCTTGGTCCATCGCAACGTTGAGACTACATTATTGTCACCCCCACCTTTTTTTTAGCCTGTCTCCGCCGCTGGCCTAAGGGGCGCCACTGAATGGTTTACAGGGCACCACTGGAAAGAGGAAAGGAACACGAAAATGGAAGGACAGAGGAGTCGCACCTGGAATGACCGAAGGTGGTTGAAAGGTTAATTGGCTACCGTTGGCAAATCAGAAGAAACAACAGTGAAAGGGCAAAACGAGCACACTGGAAGGACTGAAAGGTATACACGGCGTCCCAACGATCACCTCAGCGAAAGTGCAAAAACACAATATTAACCAGTCACTGTTTCTTCGTAAGAACTATCAAAACTGTAACTGTATCTTTCTCTCTTCTTTCTTTTTCGATAAGTTCATTGATCGATTGTTGAGAAAGACTAAGACGCGCAAGAAAGAGATAGATAAATAATATTATATAGAGAGAAACAAAGACATTCATTAAACGGTGTGGTGAGGAAAGGCGGGGGAGAATGTGGTGAGAGAACGGGGAGGGAGGGAAGAGAGAGAGAGAGGAGAGAGAGAGAGAGAGAGAGAGAGAGAGAGAGAGAGAGAAGAGAGAGAGAGAGAGAGGGGGGAGGGAGGAGAGAGGGGGGAGGAAGAAGAGAAAGAGAGAGAGAGAGAGAAGAGAAATATATATATAATATATATTATATAATAATAGTATATATATATATATAGAGAGAGAGAGAGAGAGAGAGAGAGAGAGAGAGAGAGAGAGAGAAATAGAGAGAGAGAGTCGTTCGCTTGCGAGTAGACGTTATTTGCACTTTCAATGTATCATGCAGTTAGTGACCCTGACAGTCAAACTTAGACACACCCACTATCTCTCGCGCATTTAAATGCTACAGCATATTTAAGTTGCATGAGTCATCACTCACTGTATAACAACATGCATCGCAAAAGGTAACTTCGTTTAGGTAAAGACACTTTGATACTGTGATTTCTTCATTATCAATTACAAGATGAGAATATAAAGACGTCTATTTATTCTTTCACATCTCAGAGATCTGCCTTGCATATATGTTGTAATTCCACAGGGTAAATGACGGAAACACTGCCCAGTTACATAATCTTTTGTATCTTCTTTGCATCTAACTACTGATGATACATTGTTAAGTAATTACATAACTAACACTGGGAACAACACGGTCATTTAAATTCTGTAAAGATCTAGTTTATACCACTCGCCGTTTGTACAGTGTCAACTAAGAAATATTTAAATTAATTAGTTTATTTTCATTCTAATGACTGTATTAACGCATTAACAAGCATAACAATAATTATATGTATGTATAATAGAGGTGATTTCGTTGAATTGTGTTAGCACCTTATTCAGTGCTTGTGCCTGCAAAAGTGGCCGTTTATACTTGAAATCTAAAGAAAATTGGTTATTTTGAATTATCTTCAAAAACTGCAGAACATGGACACTATAATACCGAAATGGAAAATATGTTTCTTTTATCTGTATACCACTCTTCAACAGCCAGCAACATATCCGCTAGATATCTGTTAATTATCTGGTCAGTTCAACATGCACGCGGAGCTTACCGAATGCTGAACACAAGGTCTACATAAGTACTTATAAAGACTTGGCTGGACAGTCAACAACCACGAGCCCAGGTAGTGTTTTCAACTCGTACTGCTACACCAATGTTACCTCTAAACGGGTGAATTATATACTAGTGCATTATCTTAGGCTTTGGCACAGGTCGACTATAATGCAATGTATAATGGTATTTTATTTCTTTCAAAAATATCCATCTCGATCTACTTCAGAGGCAGCAGATACAGTCTAGATAACCTAAACCCAACCGACAAATGATGCGTGTCACATAGGCGAGTGCTTTGGCTCATCTGGCGTAATCTTTTGAGGATGATCACGAGGCTGCATTTGCTCCCGCTGAGGACAAATGTGCCAACGCTGAATTACTTATATTAATCCGTATAGGTAAATGGTTTGGAAAAGTCTAGCGCTATTTCTGTTGGTTCACATTATTTTTTTTTCTGAATTACTCGTTACTGATGACGCCAAGAGCCACAGGTCTTGCTTAAAGGCTTGCGGAAAGAAAGGAAAGAAACACAAACACAAAACACATTACAGAAGCACGAATCTCACAGAAGTGACGTGACTAATGTATAAGAAATGCGTGTCCTTATTTTCTTTCTTTTTTTGTGTGTATACCAGCAGTAACATCGACACTTCTGCTGCTGCTGTCGAATTAGCATTCTTCCCTCGACTACCATGCGCAAACTTCATTGCATTCTGTTATCGTTACCTGTGCAATAGTTCACTGTGGTGCAATTTACGATAAGCCAATTGCAACTAACGAACTTCGTTAAGGTTAGGCAAGTGTGCATTAGGAACAGATGCAACGATACTATCACTATTGCCAGTCTTGTAACTAAATATTGTACGTAGGCAAATGGATAAACAACGTGTAATTAGCAAAACATTATCACAATCACTTGTATGAACTAGTAACAAAGAGAGAGAGAGAAAGGGGGAAGAGAGAGAGAGAGAGAGAGAGAGAGAGAGAGAGAGAGAGAGAGAGAGAGAGAGAGAGAGAGAGAGAGAGAGAGAGAGAGAGAAAGGGGAAGAAGAGAGAGAGAGGGAAAGGGAAGAGAAAGAGAGAGAGGGGGGGAAGAGAGAGAGAGAGAGAAAGGGGAAGAGAGAGAAAGGGAAAGAGATCGTAATCTACTATTTATGAGGCGGCTGAAACCCCAGCCATGATTTGACACTCTACAAACTTGTAAAATATCCAATTTGGTCACTTCAAGTCGTATGACGAAACGATTGAGACAACAAAGAAGTCCCGTCATACACAAAAGGACACATTAGTACTCCTGTTCGCCGAATTACGCCATTTCCTATTCGTCCGCTCTTGCCAGACCGGTCCTGCTCTTACCTGAGTGGACTTGCTTTTTGATCTTTACTTTTGAATTTTCGTTTTTGAGGTATCACAAAAGGATCAAGTGAGTGTAAACAGTTTCTTCATAATCTGAATTCGTTATCTTTATTTTTTTCTTCAGCTCATGTCCTTTACACACCAGCGTAGATCACTTCAAGAGAATGCTTGTGCTAACCTCATTTCCACAGTGCACGATATTGTCTGCTATTATGTCTGTAGGTCTATAATAAGAGTCAGCTGATTGACGCTTTTAATTGAACTTGACTGATGAGACCCAACGGATTAACCCCACGGCCACTAATCCATTTATTTATTTAATCATTTATCTATTCATTCCATAAACAATCATGAAATGTTGTTCAGGAATAGTGGTGTTGTTCTAGCACAAGGTAATGAAAGTGGTAAAATGAACGATGTTGTAGCCTGGCTTTGACATTATAAGATACTGTACTTCAGGATACAAGGTATTGTTATAGTGTACTTTTGGGTAATGGTATAATCGTAAACAAGAGTACTAAGTATCATTTTAAAGGATGAATTATACTACAGAATTTTTGTTTTTGTTTTCGTAGTTTCGCAACACACACACACACACCACACACACACACACACACACACACACACACACACACACACACACACACACACACACACACACACACACACACAACACACACACACACACACACACACACACACACACAACACACACACACACGCACTTATATATATACTTATACATATATATACGTATATACTTATGTATAAACGTATATATATACATATATATATTATGTATATAATATACATATATATATATATATATATATATATATTATGTATATAATATATATATACATATATATATATTATGTATATAATATATATATACATATATATATATATATATATATATATATATATATATATATATATATATATATATATATATATATGCGTGCGTGTGTGTGTGTGTGTGTGTGTGCGTGTGTGTGTACTCGTGTGTATATATATATATGTATATATATATATATATATATATATATATATATATATATATATATATATATATGCATATATATATATATATATATATATATATATATATATATATATACATATATACACACACGTTTATATGTGCATATATATATGCATATGTACGTATATACAAATACATATATTTATATATGTATATATAAGTATATACGCATATATATGTATAAGTATATATCTATGTGTGTGTGTGCGTGGTCGTGTCTGTATATAATATACCTATTTTTTCCCCAGCTCAACAAACATCCGGTGCTTATGCCGGTCAGACCATCCCAAACTCGTGGTCTGCATTCGAATTACACAAAATCGTAATTCATAATGTTTCTCTAATAACCAACATACAGCCAAAGTAACTACCTCCTGGCATTTAGAAAAACACCCACAAACAGCATAACAAATATCTCAGAAGTCGGTCCCTTTATCTCATCCATGTCCCGTACCCTTAGGCTAAATGAATTCCCTCCCTTGGCATAACGGAAAGTTTGTGGTTATAGTTCCGCTGGTCGATCGGGGGCGCGTCTGACATTTGAACAGTCAGTTATTCTAAATGATTTATTGTTTATGTCTGGTTGTTGTTTACTGTCCTTGGCAACCATGGATTTGACTGTATTGTGCAGTATGTTATGCACGTGTTCGAAACTTTGCTAAAATATGCAGTGCGAGTCTAGTCAATCATCCCCAAGCTTATACATGGCAACCTAACACGATAGGAAGTAACACGCTGCTTAAATATGCAGACTCATGTATGCAAAGCGGTAACAACTCATAATAGATATCCAAATCGATTGATAGACGGTGCCCGCGTCACGGCATGTGACCGAACGTTTGTCACTGGGTCGCTTAGAAATCGAAAATTACTGTGTCATCCTGGAAAGTATTACATTCATTTCATATCCGATTGTCCATTGGGACTTTGTGGCTTATTTTTTGAAAAGTAGCTTTTAACAAACCCATCAAGGGAATATAAACGCTAAGTATTCATTAGATCACAATTAAGGGTTTCCTAGCATCCCATGTAGGAATCCACCGGGAGTGAATGGTCGCTTGTTAGGGATGAGCACGGAGGCGGAGGCCGAGGCGACGAACGCGTGACCACCTCGTCTTATTTTATTCCTGGCCGCTCCAGGTAGGTCGCTTTTTCTATTCTTTGGTAGAAGAAAGACTCTGGGTGTATTAGAGAGCTTATTGTGAATGTATGATGAAGTAACACAAGGGGAGGAAATTTTTATTGGAGGGAAAACGAAAGTAGCGAGTTCGAAGAGTGGAAGTTGTTTAATAATGTACCGTTATTTGTTTCTTTAGTTTAGGCTTATCCCATTGGGCGGTGGGCGACCAAGCTTTCCCCAGGCAGTCAGGCCTTTGCTTTGGGAGGAAGGAGTCCAGGAACCAAGAGGTGGTTACATTCAATCGCATTACTAATTTAGTTTACATTTAAAAGTTCTCTTGACGTTTTGGGGACTTGCATTCGTGTTTTGTTTTGATTTTCGTTGAACTTGATTTTTCCCGTGATACAAGGTTATTGGTCACTGTAAAACGTTAAATTCTCATAGGTTATGTTCTTAAAACGTTCAACATGGTTTGGTTCCCGTTTGGTCAGGGAAACACCAGTGATGTCTGTTAATTATGTGGCGTGCATTTGCCTGTGCCACAGCAGTTGGTGGTACCCAATTCATATCTGAGTTAGGCACTTCTGTTACAAGTTCTTTATTTTTTCAGTAACTCTTATGTAGTTATATTCCTGATAATTACCTGGTCTGCTAATAATTTGGAATACATTCGCTAAACTGAATTTTTGTATTGATGGATTCCTCTCTCTTTTCCAAATATTTTGAAATTATGTTGAGGACCCCCCCTCCCACCTCCCACCCCTTCCGTACCAACAATCTTGGGAGGGCATGAATGGCACCAGGGAGACTGCAGGGTGAATTATGAATATGTTACAGAAGAATTGGTCAATATATTCAAATGCAGTGGGTTGTACCCTTTCAAAGCCCCCCCCCCCCCCATTAGGATACTACTGCCCTGTAACCCCCTCCGTGGACAGCAAAGAATTCTCCATGTATGTACGACAGGATAGAGCACCACAACCCGCAGCATAAGACTGTATAATGACAAGATTCAGTGTATATTGTTTATATTTTACTCTGGTACCTTTCATCCCCTCCCCTGCTATTAGGGCCAAGATTGTCGTTAATGGGGATATTTCCGTGGCATACTTTTGATATATTTGGTTAGTAGAGAGCGAGAGGAATCCACTAATACCAAAATCGTCGCAATTGGTTTTGCGATGGTATTCCGAAAAATTACCCACAGTGTTGCCTAGAATGTAAGAACTTGTATATTACTCTTATAACTGTTATGGACAGCTGTAAAATGTATGATAAGCAGTGCATAGTACAGATAAAATGGCTAAATCTCGCATAATAGTCGAGGTAATTCAGGAGGATGTTGGATTTTGTTTTTCGTTTATTGGTTAACCCAGTAGATCCATATGCTTCTCTACCATCACATGGCCCAATATACGGGTATTAGGCTTACTTGATTGGCCACTGTGATGGGTGTGCAGCTTATAGGCTGGGTGCACGCAAACACTTGTGTGCAGTGACAAACTCTTTGCCTCCCCTTTGGAATGTATTTTTGCAGTGTTCATATTTATTTATTTATTTATTTATTTATTTATTTTTATTTTTTTCTCATGATATTCAATTTTCTATAATATATCCTATAGTGCCAGTTACAGTGGCTAGGAACAAGATCCTGAGCATAGAGATAACGTCCTCCTAGGAGCTGGCACTCTTCTAGTCATTGCTCACTGACTGTACATTCAACTCGTTTATCAATGGCAATTATGTAAAGACCCCTTCCTACATGCCAAATGAGTCTTATCACTCTCTGAGAATTTTGTACACTCGTGTTGATTTTATTTGCATCACACCGGCCTTCAGGAAAAATGCTCACAATGGCAAATTCGTGTCTCCGTACCCTAGAGCCAAATTTTCCCAAGACAGTATGTTCACGTCACACGCCATTCAAGCCAGATTTTTTCATGACATGATGGTCATGTCATCTGGGTTAATCTTTACTATATAGATGTACTAAGCTTAAGCTAATTGAAATTGATTGTCATATAGAGAAGAAAATGTGGCAGTTGTTGTTACAAGAAATTATCTGTAGACATGAACAGAAGCACTTGAAATAAAGGAAAAATATTGCAAAAACACCACCCACAACCTGTTTCCACTTGGTGCTCCAGAGTTGCAGGTACATCTTGCCGTACATACCAAGGTGAAGAGTGGTCTTTTTCTTATCTCAGGGTATCTCAGGGCTTTCCAGGGTGCATTTAAAAACTATTGTATTAAATTCCCTTAAAGGAAATGTCAAAATCTTTAAGTATTTATAAAGTCAGCAGAAGTTATATTGGAGATTTCGTATAAAATATTGTGTTAATTATCACAAAATTTGTTTTTTATTACCAAAAACAAATAAACAAGAAATAGCTGATTTGAAACTGAGGCTGTACACTCGCGTTGAATTCCGCTAGACAAGCATTTGTTTTAAATCAGTAAATTGGTGTCTATTCTCCTTCATCATGAAATTCACAACTACGGCAAAAACAGGGAATAAGTCCTTGTGCTCAGTGTTCCTCAAATGAGAAGTACTATGCGATGTTACTCAAGCAAGAGCCAAGTGTGGTCTGATACGGCACTTTTTTCGCCACTGAATCACTACTCCTGGCTGGGCACTTGGAAAAAAGTCAAGTCCTAGAAGACAAAGGTAGCTGAACCGCACCTTAAGCCAAACAACAACCGACAGCCTAAGGGTACCTGAAGGGAACTGGCAGTTGGGGGTGGGAAGATATGGGTGAAAATGCTGATAAGGGGCATTTTAAAGTGGGTGATTTTTTAGTTTAAAATAGATATCCACTCTTACAATTATTATTCCTTTTTTCAATTATCAATGCTTCTATAAGCAGAAATCTTATTTTCCATTGCAAATGATATAAAAGAAATTATTGTTATTGTATGAAGTCACTATACATCTCTAAGCCTAGGTCCCTATTATTCCAGCTTCCCTGGAACAAACATCGCCTAATGAACCAAAAACCTTCGTAACCCGGGGGATTCACCCTCATACCCGCACCTGATTGTTTTATTTTCCTATCAGGGAATACCTTCATTTATATTTTTATTTTTGGCCTATGCAGAGTATTTCCTATATTAGTGAGTGTATTATATATATATATATATTATATATATATATATATATATATATATATATATGTACATACAAAGTGCAATGTGTTGCACAACTTTCTTTTTATCTACTTGTGAAGGTTATTAATACCATTGGTGGAATAGTCTTATTTCCAGTCATTATATCCATTACAGTCAGATGATGAATTTTACTACATGTCTGTGGAAACTAAAACTATACCAAAGAGTAAACCAAGAATCATATCTTAGATGGGGGGTGAAAAAAAATCTAAAGTTCATTCATAGATGATTTGACCTGGCACTGTGTGAATGAATTTATCCCACTTGAAAGGTACAAAAAAAATCCCATATGAACAAAAAAATTAACTACCTCACTATAATATGGTTATGGTACTACACTGAATTTAGTGTTGTCCCTGAGATTGTAAAACTTTCATTAGGAGTTCTTTCACCGGAAAATTGTGAAAGAATTTGGAAATGCAATTAATGCTGTCAACAAACTCTCCTTCAGAAAGCTGCAATGAGTTCTGTGATACAGAATTGACAAATTTTTCGAGAGATAGTTGCTCAAGCATGACATGTATGATTTAAAAGTATTTATAATGGGGGGGGGGAAGTAAGTATGCACAAATGTATGTATAGATAGATAAATAGATTGTATAATTTAAAAATACCCATCTTAGTATATTTTGAATAATTTGAAATACCCATCTTGGTGTATTGTGATGAAAATTGACGGTGACAGTGACGAGTGACTTTATGACCTACCTGTGTAAAGTTTATGTAGTGCTACTGCGCAAGAATGTTGTTTGTTACAAGTTGGTTGAGGAATGCTGGACTTAATTGTGGTAGGCACATGGTGACTTTTGGCCAGTTTGTTAAAACTGTGCGAGGCCTGACCCAATGAATATACATAGTTATATACACAGAAATGAATCCATATCTGTCTGTCTCTATGATAGATGTACATTTATTTATAAATCTGTATGGTAGGTATGCATGTCTTGACTGAGAGATTCATTTATTTCTGTGTATATGCATGTCCATATAATGAATGTTTAACAAACCAGCTGTTTGACTCCAGTCCATGAATTGCACAACCTTTATTTTTTAATGATTTTTAAGTATTGATAAATTCAAGTGTTGTTCTGTGATTTACATTTGTCGTTGTTGATTAGTCTACATGTAATTCTTCCATTTTAGTAGCATTCCCTATTTCTATACTAAAATTCCATTTCCTCTGGGTTAACCCTTTTCAATCATGATGTGTGTGTGTGTGTGTGTGTGCATATACATATACATATACATATATATATATATATATATATATATATATATATATATTATATATATAATATATAATATATATATATTATATTATTTTATTTATTATTTTTTTTTTTTCCCCAAATTGAAAAGGAAAATGTATTTGAAAAAGAATTGGTAGAAAATAGTAGACTACAATTATAGTGACAATTTCGCTCATACAATTTTATTGTCTAGGTAAAACTTCCAAGTATATTGGAGTGGATTGAAATTACTATTTGATTATACTAGCCCATAAGGTTTTTGTGCTTCCATTCCGTTCTAGTAGAACCAGTTCGCATTTTAAAATCAATAGAAGTTTTATCAGTGGATTCTTCATGAAGTACATTTATAGTGGTTTTAGTTAGCTTTAGGCAATGCAGCAAGGGTTACATGTTCTCCCTAGGAGGGAAGGTATCATTTGGAGATGATGGGGTGAGATTAAGCCGCATTTACTTGTTTTGTCCTTTTCAAGGAGGATTTGCCCCTTATAGTGCACAAGTGGATTAAGTTGTTTATGCTCAGCACTTCACTTTTTTATACCCTTACTGAATTCATGACAGCTTAACATTAGGCTTTAAGTCTCTTTTTAGTCTCGTTTCCTCATTATGTATATGTAGCCAAGGGCATAGAAAATGTGATAAATGTATGTTTCCTACACTCCTTATTTTTCCCTTGAGTAACTGACTGTGTGCAAAGTCTAGTGCATGGCTCAGTATGGAGCAGGGAAATCCCATACAGAATGGGTTAAAGAAAACAGAACAATAATAATAGCTAAAGAAATCAATCTGAAAGTAAATCCACATTTGCTTCTCATAGCAATGCCTGCAGTGGCTAAAGGTTTTGCTGTGGTCTCCATGTCTTTGACACTTAA